GTAGCTTTTATTATTTTCCTGTCAATTCTAGCTCATCCCAGGCCTTTCCAACATTATTCACAAAAGTGTTTGGCACTTATTATATTCATCCTTGATTTATATATCCAAACTCCCACTTTCTGTTCATGTTTTTTAAAATTATGAGATTGGAGAGCTGACTTGTAGCCACAATGGTCTCTTTTGATGCCTCTTTTCCCTTCATCAGAATAATCTGTGACTACACAGCAGATACTTATTTTTCAGAGATCTGAATACATAGAAGTATCTTTGTATTTTCTCTCATGTTTTTGTAAGCTAATTTCATAAGGTTTGGAGTAGATGTTGATGCCTAACACTCTCTTCTATGTATATGATGCTTTGAACTGGAAGAAGGAAAAAGCTCCAACAGATTACTTCCCAAGAAGCCCAGAGCATCGGGCTCCACACCGAGCAAAGTCAGCAGCTCTTCTAATGTATAGACTCAATGGTATTCCTATCAAACTACCAATGACATTCTTCACAGAACCAGAAAAAAAACTATTTTAAAACCCATATGGAACCAAAAAAAGAGCCCCAATAGCCAAGGCAATCCTAAGCAAAAAGAACAATGCTGGAGACATCAGAGACATCACGCCACCTGACTTTGAACTATACTACAGGGCTACAGTAACCAAAACAGCATGGTACTGGCACAAAAACAGGCACACAGACTGATGGAACAGAATAGAGAGCCCAGAAGTAAGGCTGCACTCTATGGCCATCTGATCTCCAACAAACCTGGCAAAAACAAGCATGGGGAAAGGACTCCCTAGTCAATAAATGGTGCTGGGATAACTGGCTAGCCATATGCAGAAATCTGAAGCTGGATGCCTTCCTTACACCAGAAAAAAATCAACTCAAGACGGAATAAAGACTTAAATATAAGACTCCAAACTATAAAAATCCTGCAAGATAACCTTGGCAATGCCATCCTGGACATAGGAATGGACAAAGATTTCATAACGAAGACACCAAAATCAATCACAACAAAAGCAAAAATTGACAAATGGGATTTAATCAAACTTAAGAGCCTCTGCAGGCAAAAGAAACTATCAACAGAGTGACAGACGACCTACAGAATGGGAGAAAAGTTTTGTAAACTATGCATCTGACAAAGGTCTCATATCTAGCATCCATCAGGAACTTAAACAAATTTACAAGTATAAAATAAACAACCCCATTAAAAAATGGGCAAAAACCATGAACACTTTTCACAAGAGTACACGTGGCCAAGAAGCGTATAAAAAAAGCTCATCACTGATCATTAGAGAAATGCAAATCAAAACCACAATGAGATACCATTTCACAACAGTCAGAATGGCTATTATTAAAAGTCAAAAATTGGCTGGGTGTGGTGGCTCTTGCCTGTAATCCCAGCACTTTGGAGGGCTGAGGCTGGTGGATTGCTTGAGCACGAGAGTTTGAGACCAGCCTGGGCAACATGGAGAAACCTCATCCCTACAAATATAAAAAATCAGCCAGGCACAAGCCTGTAGCCCCAGCTACTCATGAGGCTAAGATGGGAGGATCGCTTGAGCCCAGGAGGCAGAGGTTGCAGTGAGCCGAGCTCACACCACTGCACTCCAGCCTGGGCCAGAGTGAGACCCTGTCTCAAAAATAATAAAAGGTAACTAAATAAAAGTCAAAAAATAACACATTCTGGAGAGGTTGTGTAGAAGGGGACACTTATACACTGTTGGTGCGAGTGTAAATTAGTTGAACCATTGTGGAAAACAGTGTGGCGTTTCCTCAAACACCTAAAAACAGAAATACTATTCGACCTAGCAATCCCATTACTGGGTATATACCCAAAGGAAAATAAATCGTTCTATCCTAAAGATGCATGCATGTGTTCACTGCAGCGCTCTTCCCAACAGAAAAGACATGGAATCAACCTAAATGCTCATCAGTGGTAGACTGGATAAAGAAAATGTACATAGGCACCATGAGATACTATGCAGCCATGAAAAACGAATGAGATCATGTCTTTTGCCGGGACAGGGATGAAGCTGGAGGTAATTATCCTTAGGAACCTAATGCAGGAACAGGAAACTAAATACTGCATGTTCGTACTTATAAGCAGGAGCTAAAAGATAAGAACACATGGACACATGGAGGGGAACAACAGACAATGGGGCCTACCAGAGGGTAGAAGGTGGGAGGGGGAGAATCAGGAAAAATAACTAATGGGTACTAGACTTAATACCTGGGTGATGAAATTATCTGTATAACAAACCCCTGTGACATGAGTTTACCTACATAACAAACCTGCACATGTATGCCTGAACTTAAAAGCTAAAAAAGAATCAGCAGCTCTGCAAGGGCAGGTGTTTTCCTTTCTCCTCTACAGCTTCAATATGCTGGCTTTGCCCTCAGGCTAGATCCCTTCCAGGTCCAAATGTGGCTATAGCAGTTTCAATCATCACATTCAGGCAAAATAATGTCCACAGGCAAAAAGTCTCCGGCAAGGTCTCCTTGGGAGTGAAGGAACTTTCCCCAGAAACACCCTCAGCAGAGTTCCCTCACATCTCCTTTGCCAGGATGGAGTCCCACGACCACTTCTAAAGCAATTACACCCAAGGTAACAGAGCTGGGATAACATCCTACTTCCCTAAGCCACGAGGAGGGGGAAAGCAAAGTTACTCCTCAATATCCCAGCCAGGAAGCAGCAGGGATGCTGGAGAAGCAATCACCAGTGTCTGTCTTAGTTTCATCATTACTAACATTTGAGTGCACACCTATGTTCACTACAGGCTCCTAACATTTCCCCTAGAGTAATTCTTTCCCACTGGGTCAAAATGAATCCCAGAGCAGCAGTTTTGTTACTTCTGGTAACCTAATGGGATGGCATTATCAGCAACTCAAGAGTTAATCGGACTCTTAGCAAATAAGATATCCAGGAAGGCCTTTTATAGCCCAACTACTGCATCCCTACCATGTCTTGTGTTTTCCTGTTGCAGATTCAGAACAGAAATCCATAGCCTTAATCTGATGAAGAAAAGTACAATATAACCCAACCATCATATTTTTGTCTTTTTTCATCAGTATTCACATACTCCTCATTTACTTTCCCTCTCAGGTCTAAGTTCCTTTTGTGTATTCTTGATGTATAGTAGTTTCCCACCTTTATTAGACCCATTTCTTTTGAACAGTGTAATTTTTGTACCCTAGTAACAAGCAGCATCTCAGATTTTGACAGTCATTTGACGGCCTTATGTTAACATGTCTAAGCTCTATGTATGACCTGGTACCTCGTATCTACACATCCAGAGCTGTGTCATTACTGGCTCCCCTACTTTCCTTCTATTCCAGAGCTTATTTTTCAGATCTCCCCACTCATCTTCCTTTTAAATGAACCCAGCATCATCCACATTTTCTCTGGCCTCTTCATAAGCTACTTTCATAAAGTTTAGAGTATATGTCAATGTCCAGCACTTTATTTCCAACATAAGGCCTTCTGACAGGTTTGCTAGCTTGCAGTTGTTCTCGGACAAAGCAGTGCTCTAAATATTTATTTTAAAATAATCCTTACAGCAACTCTCTAAACTACGTGTTAATTTTTATATATGAAACAACTGAAGCTCAGATATTAACTTGTTCAAAGTCACCCAGAACAAAGCCAGGCTTGACTCCAAAGTCCAGCTATTCTTCTGGTTTTCTGAACTCTGAGGACTGAAGAACAGTATCAGTCAAAATGTAGATGTGTTAAAATTATCAGACTTAAAAAAAAATGCTACTGAGAAACACTGGGGGAGAGTGGCACCCTAACTAATGGAACCCAGGTGAGTGATGCCCAGAGAAAACCAAGTGATAAGGAAGAAGGACATAAGGGGAACCATGCTCCAGCATGCAGGGAAAAAGAAAAACTATCTTATCTGGCAGACAACTGAGAATTGGCCAACTTCCTGTATGTTCCTACAAGAATTCTGAGGGTCTCGCTCTGCTACGGCTTGTCCCAGTTCCCTTCTAGGTTCTGCTGCCTCCTTTTATTATTTAACTATAGCAAAGTTTCTCCCACTTCATTGTAAGACTTCCCTTACATCAAATAAGCTTCAAGAACATGTGTAGAAAATAAAAGATATCAAATAATGTTTGAATGTATAATTACCACATTCTAAAACCAGCCAGACTCTTGGCCTAAGACTTCTAACAACAAACCACTTCCAGAGCCAAGTTAGAAAATGTGTTTACCCAACTCCTTTTTTATTGGTTGACTCACATGAAAGAGATGGGCATTTCCTTTCCCCAAATGGGAACTTACTATGCCTACTCCCTATTTCTTGAAAGCTGTCATTTTGAAAAAGAGGAATATGAAAAATATTCAAAGACAAACATCTGACATCACTGTCGAAGACTACAAATAATGTAGTAAGTGAAACTGGTTTTCACATTTTAGTACTGGCTGAACTCTTGATATTTAAGAATTCGATGTTTCTCACTTAGTTTTATCCATGATCTCTTTCAGAAGTCAACCGTCTCCTGTGTAAAAAGGCTCATAGAAGCCGCTGCCTTCTGAAGAAAGCACACCAACTGGTGGGGGTCAGCGTAAACCAGGAGTCACACCCAACCACCAACCGCTCACGCCCAAGAACCCCACCCTACCCCGGCCACAAAAACTGTGCCTAGACTCCAGCACAGCCTGCAGCTGTGTTTCAATTATAGCTGTGTTTGTAATTACAGGTCACGTGCCCCACCCCAATCACTCCATTTGGCTAACAAGTGACCATATTACAACACACAAATGGAAAAAAAACTGGAATGCTCGCAAAAGTTACAAATAAAAACGATATGAAGGCATATTAAATTTTGGCTGATACTTCTCTTTGATTTTGCTAAACCACAGCAGAGTAAAGGCTGGCCCAATGTTGAATTTTACTGAAGAGTATCATAAACTGAAGAAAGAAAGACAGACAAAAACAGTAGTGAAATAAAGAATAGGCAAATATACCAGAATTATGAATGGAAGTCATTCTAGAGAATTATTCTACAACAGATGAAGTTTTAATTTCTTTTCACATTAAACATTGTTTACCACAATCAGCTAACAGAAATTACTGTAACATTGGTCACGATGACTTCATAAAACTAAAGATAGATGCTATGAGGAAACTTCATTTAATGTGAATGGTAATGTTAGATACTGTATTTTTTCATGGCAAAATACAACTTATCTTGAAGAGAAAGCAAATAGTTCAGATCAGGGAGACATGCTAAGGTTTTAATAAAGAAAAGCTTGGCCTCGTCCGGAACACTTAACAAAGTTCAGGACAATTCAGATAAAAGAGATGAGTGAGACACCAGCGTTAGGCAGGGACATAGGCTCATCATTCAGGCTTTATGTACATTACTGGATCTACGCAGCTCTCACTTTTAGATAAGCAAGCTGTATTTTTGGCAGAGGGATCTTCAAAAGTAGCCTTGGATATGAGGAATCGTATTTTAACCACCAGGCAGTCCAAGAAATTATTTTTAAAGGGGCAGCTGAGTATTTTCACGTATATACTATTAAGGCATCTAAATTTTTGGTGTTTTCAGTATATACTTTTACTGCTACTTTTTATTTTTTTTCATGTTGTACAACTATGATATTAGGTATTAAGCGACATAATTCTTTCTCTACTAGTGAACCAGTTTATCTCACTTAGCAAACTCTAAATTGATTGAAATATATAATCTGAGAACACACAGAAAAATATATTGAAAAACCAACAGAGATTTTTAAACATCATAAAAACTCAATCTTAATTAACTGATAGTCTTTAACTTAAAAAAAGAGTAATTAGAATGAAAATAAGTATTAAAAATAATTACCAGTAGTTTGTTTTACAAAAGAATAGAGCCATAAATTGTTTTAATTGCCCAATTAAGCAACTACCAGATTCTTTAGTCAACACTAACAGAATTCACATTTCAGCTAGTCAACAAAGCATATATTTAACATCTCTTGAATATAACATTTTAGTGATAACACAGACTACATAATTCTATCCATTGTTGTGACTGTACACAAATTAACCATGTTAAATATCAAAGATACATTGGGAATACTCTCCAAACCAACAACAGAATATTAAATGAATTTTAAAAGCTTAAGAAATAAAAGTAGAAAACATGAATGAGACAGTGCTTTAACAATTATTGACCTAATCAAGACCTTTAAAATTACCACCAAAATGCACTATGATTTTTTTTTTTTATTTAGTTTACAGGAAGAATCTATAAGTACAGGTTGCAGAAAGAAAATGTTTAGTGCTATTTACATTCGTTTTAAAACTCTGCTCTATACAAATTTAATTCTGATCAGTATGAACAATATTTTCGTAGATCTACTGCATATAAAGCCTTTTCATCAAAGCATTAACAATGAATAAAATAACCTGATTACATTTAAACAACGCTGACCATTTGAAACCATTTACATTTAATGTTTTTAAGGGCTGTTGATGCTTAGTAAGTACAGAATGTAATGTCAGCCTGCAACTTCATTTTTATAAAGGCTAAACTTATTTATATGGAATATTGTTCTATATACTACAAGCCAATCTATATTTTAAGTCCTATAGTTAGGTACTTTATAAGTCTTTTATTAAATATATTCTACACATATTTGTAATTTCACCCAGGAAGAATTTCTTCCCAGTGAAAAAATATAAAATCTTTCATATTTTTACAGGTTTAGATGAAACTAGCTCATGCTTTAGTGCTGTGCAAATTGTTTTTAGCATATCAATCTTTAAATTATTGGTATGAAATAAAAGAAAAAGTGGCATTCTTAATTGTGTATGCCATAAAAATCAGCTTTTGACTTTAATACAATTGCAAGCACTAATATCAAATGCAAACTATATAAAGAAACAAAATTAGTACTATGGAGTTTTTTTTTTTTAATTTTAAGAATTCATCTGAACTCTCTAAGGAGTAAGAATGACACTGGATGTGGTTACAAATGAATGATAATTATGGAAAATTTCAATTCACTGATATTCAAATACATAAAATTGATCAATGAGGTTTTCTAATATTTCTGCACAATAATGAAAGCCGATGAGTGACTGGAACTACCCTCCCACATTAAGGCTAGGAGACGCACTCTCACCCCTTCTTGTGCTGTCTAAACAAGCACTCAGTTACTGTAGGACTCAAGAGTGCATGTCTTAAAGGAAAAAAAATCAGTTTCATCAGCCCTCTACTGAGTGCTTTAAACAGGCACATTTTGTTTTTTCATTTGTTGCAGTGAAAAGAGTCACACTCAGTTTAGTATTCTGTGCCAGTGCAGCCACCACGGCTGACTTTGGTAGAATTCACCCAACATTTTTGTTTCTTTTCCATTTTTTCCTCTCAAGTTGGCCCAGTAATTAACTCCATTAATTGCTGAGTGTCTTCCAGTGTGGAATTGTATATGTAAGTATTTCTAGGTACATAAACTGTTATAAATTCTGCTGATGAGGAAAATAATGCCAATCTTTTTAGTGCAAATTGTATTTGGAACACTTGCTTTATTAGTTCTAATGATGAAAATTTTGTGGCAGCAAAATGGTTTCTGCTACGAAAGATAACTTGTTAACTTTTCCCCTGGAGATTGACATTCAAAAACCAATATGTTTTAAAACAGCTCAACATAAAAATACGAGAAATAAAAAATCAGAGTGAAAAATGTTCTTGGTTCTTTTACTTTCATGAGAAAAGATGACAGTGTTCATGTGGTAATTCAGTTCCATGGGTTTATAGTCAGACTGTTCTGAATGGTTTCTGAAGCAATGTCGGGTCTTTTCTGTCCCAGCAGCATGAAAGACAAAGACTATATCACATCACACTAGGCAGACAGTGTTTACAGGATTACACAACAATTACTCTCTCCAGTCTTCTCACGATTCCTCTGACCTAGGGAAAATGAAGAAGGGCCTCGTTTATAAAAATTCTAGAACTGGAGGGGAAAAGGGGCTAGGCAATCAAGTATAGGAAGAAGTAGTTTTGGGTTTTTAAAAATGTTTGCATTTTTCAAAATTAAGAAGCTATAATAAATGTTCTTTTAATTTTAGCATGTTTCAAAAATGTCTGGTTATTTGCTTGACAATCTCTACTCATAAACTATGTAAACTTCCTTTCCCTCAGAATCTCCAAGAAAAACCCAGCATTTCTGAATGCCTGTCTTTGTGCCTCAACTGAGACACTTTTCCAGTGCATGGCTTACCTTGAGAGTTTGGCTCTGGCAATGTCTCTCTGGCCACCAAATGCATCACTGTTGTTTTGCCAAAAGGAAGTTTTAATGCTACGTGAAAAGCAAAAGATGATTAGTTACACATATATCGACCTATTAAAATCACTATCCAGATTTTAAACCATTTTAAAAATTGATTGCTTTTTTTGACTTCTTTAACAGATTGAACTTAACTCAGAGTACCTTCACAAAATTAGATTAATATGATCAGAAATAACATTTAAAATTTAAAAATTTTTTGCAGTTATATAGCCATTTGCTTGACACATTTATCCATATTATTTAAGAAATGATAAAAGAAAAAATATGTAATTGGCTAATATCAGAGGCTACCTTTAGAGGAAAAAGGATTAAATTAAAAAAAAAAATACTCTTTCTATATTAGGTAAAAGTTTAGATTAAGAGATATTCATTTCTAAATCTAATTACCTGTCAATTGTCTAATAAAATTACTGCACTGAACAGGCTACTATGATGTAGAAATGCAAGAAACAAACTTGATTTTAAACATTTATTCTCATCCCTGTATTCGTCCATTAGAAAAGAATTTTCTTAAAAAGATTAGGTTAAAATAATCACTGTCTTGGCGTTATCAATAATCACTGTTTTCCTAATCAAGTCTTTATAACATGTTTTCACTCATAAATTTAATAAATTTTATCATGAAATATTTCAGACATAGAATACACACCCATGTCCACTAAGGCAAATACAAACACTGAGTTTCATGGTAAATCCCTTTGTTACTCTGTGTATAAAATTAGAAGCAGCTGGTATATTTAGCTTCTAGAACTGTTTCTATAGTTGTCATGTTTTAGTTCTGACACCTCAAATTACCCTGTCTTCAAAAACTATAAACTGAAGTAAGGCCAAAGATCATTACTTAGCAATAATGACCCTCCAGATCCCTGTTTTTAAAACTTGCTCTATAGGATGATGGTTACCATGTAGATTTTAAAAAGAATCCTAATTATCTTCAACACTGGTACTATTCCATATGTTTAAGGTGAGTTCCCATCTTATTTAAAGTTGGCCAGCCATTATTTGGTCTACACTTTTAACCTCTGATGTTCAAATGAAGCATGACGGCCCATAAATACATAACGAAAAAAGGGAGGCTTTTAGAATAACTTCCTAGGCCTAACTTAAATTAAAATGTAAATAAGACTTTATGTTATGAAAAATTTCACTAAATATTTGGGAAAGCCTGATCAACATTTTAAACCTTGAACTGAACTTAAAATGCACACATACCAGGCTGCATATCATTCTTATACCTTCAAACCTTGAACTGAACTTAAAATGTGCACATACCAGGCTGTGTATCACTCTCATACCTGTCTTCTGGGCTCTAGTAAGACAGACCTGGATTAAAAATTTTCATCTCTGCTGCTTCCAACTGTGTAACTCTCAGCAAGTTACTTATCCTCTAAGCTTCTGTTTCCTCAACTAAACCAGAGATACTAATTCCATTACATGCCCTTTGTAGCTGTGTCTATTAAATCAAACAATCCAAGCAAAGTGCTTTGCCCAGAGCTGGGCACAAAGAAAGCACTCAGTATATACTACCATCATCATTTTGAGATAGCAAGGAAAATGAATCTGAGAAAAAAGGTAGGTGAACTGAGATATAAATGTAAAAACACGTCAGACAGGCCTGGAAAGTTCCCGAGAGGCTTACCATTTGAAGTTACAAATGTAATGTGTGGGAGCTATTATTTTTTCTTCTTCATCTGAATTTTAACTAGAAATAGTAGGTATTGATGTTAATAACATTTAAAAATGTGAAAGAAGAGGAATGCCAGAATCTAAAATGCGTTCTATTCCTTTCACTGTGGACGCTTCTGCTTTCTCCTATGACACGGTGCAATATCCAGAATAGAGGTTTTCAACCTTTAGAGTACATAAAAATCACCCAGGAATTCAATTCTGTAGTAAAATCAGGAGACGCGGGTAGGGGAGAGAGGGCATGCAGAAATCTGTATTTTAAAATAAGTATCCTAGATGAGCCTCATGCTCATTATTTCAGAACCACATTTTGGGAAATGCTAATCTGGGCCATACTGAATGCCAAAGCTTTAGCTGATCATCATCTTCACCCTCTGATTAACAAGGCGCTGTCACACTTTTCCTTTAATGAAATGAAACTCTATATGACTATATACAGGTTCTAGTTCAAAAAGGGGGATTCAGGGCTATGTTTTAAGACATTTGATAATGGAACATTTCAATCCGAAACTTAACGGAACCAGAAAATTTCAAGAATGGCAGAGAATGCCCTGGCTTCCTACTTTAACTGTCCACATAATGGCTGAATTCCACCCATGGCTGTATACCCACTACTTCATGGTCATCCACTGCTTGACCACCACCTATAACAAAGATCTCACTAACTTTCCCTGGCAGTCTAGTCTTTCTTTAGGTAGGTCAATGTGTTCACATATTCTTTCCTATATTGAATAGAAAACTGTCTTTGATTTCCAGTTATTGATCCGAAGTCTAATTCACAGGGCTACACAGAGCAAGTTCTAGGGCCACACAAAGCCGCCTTCCACACAGGCCACTCAAATATTTATAGATGGTTGCATTTCCCTATGCGCTATCTTCTTTATTATTCACATTGAAGAACACAGGGATGTAAAAAGAAAAACTGAGACCCAAAAGACAAATAGTTGATTATCGTTATCCAAACTTGCTCAAACATCCAGTTATAATTATTAAAGCGGAGGTCCAGGCCATGCTTCTATGCTAGAGATAGTTTATTGTTTTTGAAAAGAAGGACAGCAATACAGAATGACAATAATAATTATATAAGTCAATCTGGTAATTATTCTAAAACAATTTCAAAAAAATACTGGTAAAAAATTATACTTTAGTGAGAATGAATCAATAATTTTGATTTTTAACACAAATTCTATGAGCTTTAATATGAAGTTCAAACTCTGAGGTCACAACAGAAAAGATAATTAAGGAATGGAGTTGGTGGGAAATTGCTCACATAGATCAATACTCAAAAGGGAAATGGAGTATTTCAAGGTTCACTCATATAATCAATAGATTAAATTCAACCATCATTTACCAATTTTTAATTCACGTAAGATCTTGTATGAGCCATAATTTTAAAACGACCAGAACATGGTCGCATCCTTAATGAATGTACAGTATAGCCCGGGAGCTAACAGTCAATTCTTACACAAAGAGCATTAAGAGTTGGTCCATCTATTTACACAAAAGCTATAAAAAAAGCTACAAATCAAAAAAGCTCCATTTTAAAGTACCAGATATCTTAGTAGATAGAAGCATTTTTTAGACCAGTTATAAAACCACTAGTGAAACTCAGTGTGAGATTATAGCCTGAAATGTTTTACTCACTTGACATTGTGATAAAATCATTCGCATTCATCTACTTTAGCCCTTATTGCCCAGGACTTTTACCAGTGCCTTTGATCTGTTTGTCCTGTGTAACACTAGAGCAACCTGAAGGGAGAGCTTCTGTCTTATTCAATCCTGTATTGCCAGGTGCTTAGCACAGTGCTGGCACATAAGAATTTAATAAATACATGCTGAATGAATGAATGCAAACATTCTACCTTTAAGGAAAAACAGATTAAATATTAGGTTTAGAGGAAAAAGTCAGATTATATTTAATGAAATATATATTTAGATAGATCGTTTAATTTGCCTATACATTTCCAATTATCTGAATATATTTGAAATACCTATTTTCAAAACTAAACAAATCCTATTGATGGTAGAAAATGTACCCCATAAGGGGGCACTATTGAGCTACATTTCTCCAATCCTATATAAAGAATAATAATAGCTAACAATTAAAGGTGTTTACTATGTGCCATGCATGTAAGCACTTTGAATATATAAAGTAATTTACCCTTCTTAACCTCTGAGGTAGGCACTATTGTAATTCCACTTTACTGATGAGGAAACTGGAACACAGGTTGGTTAAGTCACTTGCCCAAGGTTTACACAGCCAGTAAGTAGTGCAGCTAATACAACTTAAATAGTCTAGTTCCAAAATCTTTTCTTTCAACTATTACGCTAAAATGCTGCTCTAATGTCAGTCATTTACTTTATTCTCACATGATTAGCAACTATATCAGGTAGGAACAACTGAAAACATCCCTTCATATATTTGAAAACTATCATAAATTTTTCCTAGTTTGTGTGTCCAGTCTTAAGTTTAAAATACTATATCTGAATTACATTATTTGGAAATACAATAACATTACATTTAAAAAATAGTAGGTATAGAATTCTATCTATACTGGGATACAGTTTATTTTACAAGGTAGTAGATATTTATTACAGTCCTAAAATTAAATTTAACAGAATACACAATGTGAAGGAGTAGGCATATAGAAGCAGGCAGAATTCATAGTTTGAATTTGTCTTTTTTTTTTAGTAAATTCAAAGACATTAGCATTTAAAACAAACGAATCATGCTACCATGAGACAGACATGAAATCCCACTACAAAGGTGGCTGTTACCTCCTAATGTGACATTTCCATGTAGAAATCGTCCTTGATAAATGAGTCGTAGAATATTTGGACTGCTGACCTGCTCTTCTTCCCAGTCTGAAAAGAATCCAGTGAACTGGTTAGGTATATTCTAACACATAATTAATGTACTACTATATTGTTTTAAAAATTCAGATTCAAATCAGTTAGAGTATAAAGAAGGCCCTTGGAGCTTCCTACTATTAGAAACAGTCACTATTCATATATTCACCGCAACCCTGGTTCTTGCTTATTCTTCTTAAGTAGCAAGAGCTGCAAAAAGACTCATTTTGCTTCTTAAAGAATACTAAAATGTACCAAATTGTAGTCCCCAAGTTTAAAGTTAATACAAATGAGTTGGGAAAGACCTACCAAGTAAAAACAAATACCATTTTAAAATTAATTTCAATTATCAGTAATTAACAGATAGTATTATAATGTTCCAATATCTGTACCTGCTAAAATGTACATTTAAGGCTAGAAAACAGCATGTTTAACAAATATCTGAAAAACAGTTAATATATTGATAATAAAGAATAACAAAAAAACTGTGTTTGCTTTTGGATAATGTTGATTTATTATCTTATTTTCTATCTGAAGTCAATTAGTAAACATTAGAGAAGACACAACTTTAGTTCACCTCACCCAAAATGAAGACTTGGAAGAAACTGAAAAACTAATATATATTAGGAGGTACTGTACAAACATGAAAACTTAGAAAAGTGTACACACAAAGAAAATCAAAAGACAAACTGGTAGGTAGAATGGGTAAAAGATTATTTAACTTCAGCCTATAATTTATATAATAGTAAAAGATGGAAGCCACTCCATTAAAATAAAGGTTTAAGGACACTAGTGTTATGATAGGGTAAAGGGTTAGTAATTTACATGAGCTTGTAGATGTAACAATTTAAGCCTTGAGTTTATTAATGATCTGAGAATTCCTTCGTCTTTTTTGTCAACAATTCTCACGTGTGTGTTTCCTATAGCAAGAGATAACGGGCAACACACAAAAAAAAGTTTAAAGTATTCTGAAAGAGTGACAGAAGAGAAAGGAAGTAATTACAGATTTTTCTTTTGCCCTTTTTTTGACTATTCAAAACGACGAATATGAATTTGATAAAACCACTGCCTATAAGTGACTTAGGCACAGCTGAAATGAGCAGAGGAGAAATAAATCCCAGTCATTTCCTGCCCCTGACCCATGCCTTTAGTCTCTTCCCTCTTCTCCCTCCTGCAAGGTTTTGTTGCCTTCTGATCCTGTTACTCCCAGGTCCCTCCTATTCCAGAAGAAAGATCAAATAAGTCTCTAACACTATAGTACAAATTGTTTTGAATTCATCACTTCCAAAATTATTGTTTAATAGAATATTTCTGGTCAAGATGGAAGTGCTCCATAGATACAAAGGTAAATTACAGTAATTGTTTAATTCACAGGAAACAAAGACTAATATTCTAAAAATACTTGAATTTTTTTTTTTTTTTTTTGAGGTGCAGAAACCTGAAGTCCCATGTTTCATTATCTTATACAGAGTGTCATGATTTCCACGTACTTCACCGGTGTAATATGCTATCTCCCTTCCCCTCTCCAACAATCTAAAATTTAGAGAAACCTTAGAATATAGCTTAAATGAAGAATTTCAGGTGTTATTAACATATCCTAAGTTTAATAGATTTTTTTGAACCTTTGACCCAATAACAGCTATGTGTCTGACTATTCCACCTGTTAGTAATATTTCCACTAAATAGCATAAGGGTATGCTAAGGAAAACTAATTCCTTCAACAAGTATAGTGCATTAAGTATTTTCTTCTATTGATTTAATATTTGCCACACATTTATTATTAGCATCAATAAGTATTTAATTTGCTGATTTTTAGTACATTATGTGATATAATACAGACTTACATTTTTAATTTAAATATTTTATGTAAAATAAAAATTAAGGTACTTCTCTATTCTTTGCAGTGTCTAAAACTGCTGAGTAGATTTAGCAACCTGAGGAAATACTGGGAATTAAAACCTTTTTTTTTGAAAATAAAGGAACATCCACTAATACAATCAATTTTCAGTACTGGTAGATGGTTTGTTCATTTGGGATACTATTTATGGCAAAGACTTATACTGGAATTTAAACTAATTTTAATATCTAAGTAATTATGAAAGTAAAAGTGTTTCTTTTACCTTAAGTTATGATACTGCCCAAATAAATTTCAGAGTGATTACCCTTCTTCTGCCTTGTGTTATCTCATCTATAATATCCATACATCAAAAGCTATTACTATGACCACTCCCCCCCAAAAAAATCTCATAAAGGTAATCTTTTTGTATCACACTTAGAATAACATCATTGTTGGGTATTTTTTTTTTTTTTTGAGACAGAGTCTCGCTCTGTCGCCCAGGCTGGAGTGCAGTGGCCGGATCTCAGCTCACTGCAAGCTCCGCCTCCCGGGTTCTCGCCATTCTCCTGCCTCAGCCTCCCGAGTAGCTGGGACTACAGGCGCCCGCCACCACGCCCAGCTAGTTTTTTGTATTTTTTAGTAGAGACGGGGTTTCACCGGGTTAGCCAGGATGGTTTCGATCTCCTGACCTCGTGATCCGCCCGTCTCAGCCTCCCAATAAAAAAATGCTTTTCATACTGATAGTCATCTATTTTCACCTGGCTATAAAGAATAGCCAATATTCTTAGAGCCCAAATTTAGTCGTCTTTAGCTTTTCTGAAATTCCTTCTTAGCTATAACCTTTATAGCTTCAGTATCTCCCTGATTTAGAAATCAGCCGCTTGGTCACTAATGCGAAGAAAGATCCAGTAGTTGAAAGTATTTGTCTAAATCAGTATTTCTTAAATTTAGGCCTAGGAATCCACAAAGACACGTCCTTAGGGTCTAAAAGTCCTCTTCAAGAGATTTTAAATTGTATTTTCATTGTAAGGAAAATCTGGAAAATCTGTATTTACATTTTAATGAAATCTGGAGGAGATTGTCTAGATGATTTAAATAGTCATTTTATAACCAAGCGCAGCCTTGGGGTATCTAGTACTCAGTGTGCATTAAATTTATGATTGTACTGGTGCCAAGCAGTCAGTACCTCTTTAATTGTTAAGAGTCTAATGAGATAAGGAGGTTCACTTAACAGGTAAATGATGCATTCTATCTAAGAGAAAACTGAGTAACAATTTGTTATACTGTATAAGTAAAGGTTTTATGGTGACTCTACAGATAACTTGATCATCCAACACTATGTAGGAACATAGGCATGGCAAACTCAATAGTATTCATGGGGTAAGCAGTGAGTTGGCTTTGGCAAAAATACATCACCTAGCACATTAATGTTGTTAATTTGAACATTATTGGTTTGAGAGTTATATTTGCATTTTCTGAATCAATCTTTTTTAGTTTTATGATTATGCATATGAGTTAACAAGAATAAAGAGTTTTAACTGGGTTTATGTTTCTATATTTTAAAATACTCATTGTAATAAAAATAATTTAAGTCAGCAACTAGAGATCTACAAGAATTATCTTCCTTTAGAAAAGTTCCATATATTATTTAAGGCTGAGAAACACTGATCTAATTGACTCATTTTGTGCATATACTATGTTCTTTGTCAAAACAAGTCTGGTCCTTTAAAAGTTCAAATTGCTTCTGCTAAAAAAATTAAGTGAAATCAGCTGAAAACAATTCGTATCACTATGATACATGACATAAGGATCAAGATGACACTGGGGAAGTTCAAAGGAAGAAAACGAACCAACAATTCACTTGAGGGAGGCAATTTTTTTCTTTTTTTTTTTTTGAGATGGAGTCTCGCTCTGTCACCCAGGCGGGAGTGCAGACGCATAATCTCAGCTCACTGCAAGCTCTGTCTCTCGGGTTCAAGAGATTCTTCTGTCTCAGCCTCCCGAGTAGTTTGGATTACAGGGGTGCACCATCACGCCCAGCTAAATTTTGTAATTTTAGTAGAGACTGGGTTTCACCATGTTGGCCAGGCTGGTCTTGAACTCCCTGACCTCAAGTGATCTGCCTGCCTCAGCCTCCCAAAGTGCTGGGATTATAGACCTGAGCCACCACACCCAACAGACAGTCTTATTATATTAAAAAAAAAAAAAAAAATCAGAGAAAGGAAGAAATATCAAACACATTTTCCAAGATTGTTACGGTTACTGGCTTGAAAATGGAAAGCATAGACAGATATTAATCATCTTGACCTTATAGTAGTTCAGAGAACATAAGAACTGACATGAATTAGAAGTTAATTTTGTTTCAAACTTAATTTTAAATAGGCTATCTAGAGAAGACCATAGAGAATGTATTATCTGTTTAAAATGTTGCTCTTTCCTCTTACTTTGTGTTTTGGTAAAAATAGGTTTACTCATATGAAGGTGTGTGTATATTCACTATTTTGTGTGTGTTTTTTTTTCTTTCCTTTTTTTTTTTTTTTTTTTTTGAGACAAGGTCTTGCTCTGTCGCTCAGGCAGGAATGTAGTGGTGTGATAACTGCTCATCGCATCCTCAAACTCCTGGCCACAAGTGATTCTCCTGCCTCAGCCTCCCAAGTAGCTGGGACTACAGGCATGTGCCACCATGCCTGGCTAATTTTTAAATTTTTAGTAGTGATGACATCTTGCTATGTTACACAGGCTGGTCAGTCTCAAACTCCTAGCTTCAAGCAATCCTCCTGCCTTGGCTTCCAAAAGTGCTGGGATTACAGGTAAAAACCCCAATCCCTGGCTGCATTTTTCTTTATTAAAAATATTTTTTGCCCAGGCACGGTGGCTCCCGTCTGTAATCCCAGCATGTTGGGAGGCCGAGGTGGGCAGATCACAAGGTCAAGATATCGAGACCATCCTGACGAACATGGTGAAACCCCGTTTCTACGAAAAATACAAAAATTAGCTGGGTGTGGTGGCACACACCTGTAGTCCCCGCTACTCAGGAGGCTGAGGTAGGGGAATCACTTGAGTCCGGGAGGCAGAGGTTGCAGTGAGCTGAGATCGCGCCACTGCACTCCAGCCTGGCGACAGAGTGAGACTCCATCTCAAAAAAAAAAAAATTTTTTTTTTCCACTTACATTAAAACAGTTCTAAGGCAAAAGCCGCCATTGCATCCTGGGCTCCTTTACCATCTGGGAATGAGACTGCTGAAGAGCAAGATAAGGAAGGATACAATGATCTTCTAAATCTGAGACTTACACTCCCAATTTTTGGTTGTTCTTTTAAATGTTATATGTTTATAACAGTTTCAAAATGTTTGTGAGACAAGGTAGGGCATAAAGAATCAACATTATTCATACTCAAGAAAAAAACATCACTTACCCATTGGCCAATTGTCATATACATGCTTTGCAATGTCAGAAGCAGAATCATTAGGAGAAAACAGGAATTCTTTTGTTTTTCCGCTTACCAAAATGAGGCGCAAATTTATCTGTAAGAAGACAATGATTCTTTTAACATAAATCTAAAAATCTTTTAAGTAAAAAAGAAGACTCAAAGGCTTTTCATTTCAATCACATCCTAAATTATTACCAATGCCATATTGTGGTTTTTATTTAAATTCTATAAAACTTTTTTAAAAAGAATGGGAATTTGATATTTGATTTTATTGCCTATTATTTAAGGGGTGTGTGTGTGTGTGTGTGTGTGTGTGTGTGTGTGTGTGTGTCAGACATATTTGCCATAATAAATGAACGCAGGAAAAAAAAATTCATTATGCGTTTAAATTTAATTACTCCAACAATGTGCAGAATTGAACTTTTGCAAGTTATCACTATTATTACAGAATATGCATTTTTACCCAAAAATTAATAAAAATGTTGGCACTGAAGATCTCATCACTAAACAGAAAAAAAATTAGTTGATACTCTACTTCTTAAAAAATATAATTAAAAGAAAACCTATATACAAGTTTTTATCCTATGAAAATTATTAAAACCTAGACAAATTAACAAGAAACTATATATATATTTTTTGAGGCAGAGTCTCCGCTCTGTCGCCCAGGCTGGAGTGTAGTGGCACAATCTTGGCTCACTGCAACCTCTGCCTCCTGAGCTCAATCAATTCTCCTGCCTCAGCCTCCCAAATAGCTGAGATTACAGATGCCCACCACCACGCCCAGCTAATTTTTGTGTTTTTAGTAGAGATGAGGTTTCACCATGTTGGCCAGGCTGGTCTTGAACTCCTGACCTCAAGTGATCTGCCCGCTTTAGCCTCTCAAAGTGCTGGGATTACAGGTGTGAGCCATCGTGCCTGGCCAAGAAACTTTAATTTTAAAGAACTTTATCATGGTTAAAGAAGGAATCAATAATAGTAGCTCTTTTACTCCCAACTGCATGACCACATATTTTTTAGGCGGAGTAAGGCAGGACACATGGGACAAAGGATATAAATTCACCTTCAGTGATAACTCTAAGGGGGATAAGAGAATTAAAGTGTTTGAGATCTACTGGGTTCACATTTCCAAGTCAATATATATTTGCTTATACCATTGTTAATATATTTCACAAATGTTTAATTTTTATCTGTTGTAATTAATTTAATGTTATTTTTTTAAAAACACCATATCTATGTATTCCCCTGTAAGTCACAGAAATACAAGTGTTGTTTCTATTACTCCTGGCCTTTGTTAAAAAAGTAAGTAAGATCTTACTAAAAGTTGGGTCCAGTCCAGAGCTGTGCCCTGGGATAAGGCAATTTAGCCTAGTTTCTTTATATGTAAAGAACAGACAATCTCATTGTACCAGTCTGAACTGTGCCAGGTCCCAGGTTACCCAAGCTCTCCTTTTTAGTTACTGATTTTTTTTCTTATTAAAAATACCAGAAAATCTTTAAGATGTCAGAGTCTACAATGAATAAATTGGTGCCTATTATAGCAGTCACTGATTTACTATATTCACTTACCAGCATGGCCAGTGTCACTTCCAGCACCTCACCAATTTGAAAATTATTTGAAAATTTTGTTGAAAGTTACAAAATATCTCCCCTATAAAAATGCATATACACAATTTTGGATTCAATGTAATGCAAATGAATTTCATATTAGATGGAGTGGAAGTAGATTTCATATTCTATCTACATATTTCAATTAAAAGTTTTTTAAAAGATAAAAGAAAATAATCTACGTTCCAGGTGAAAAGCCCTTTCAATATGCCCAATAAGAATTTCTTGCTGCTTTTTCTAATTAGAATGAAGTTATACCAAATAGCTGAATACAGGAAGAGACCTGATAAAAACATGTTGCCGTAAAGAAGTGATCCAAAAACTTTGAGTTCCACTTGAACGAGTTCAAGTAGTAGTCTGCAAGAATGATTACGCTCTACGAAAGTAACACCTTATTTATTTCCTATAGCAAATCGGTAATGAGCAATTCTTCAAGCAAGGAACCTAACATCTACGCAACACAATGTGAATTTTAGTCATCACAGATACATTACTACTCATGGCTTTCTCTTAATGTATGAATAACAAATACATATTATCCTATGAACTTATATGGAATATTTAAGGTTCTTCAGTCATTAATGTCCAAGAAATTCTGCCCCAATAGTTCAGCCACTTGTATTTAACTAGAAAAAATATAATTAAATTCAAGCTTCCTAATTAAGAGTAATGCAAATTATGTGAACTTACTACTTCTTAAATTGTTTTACGCTTAAAATTAATTTCCATTGGGTTTTTACTCAAATTATAATATTTAAAAATGATGAAAGGAAATAGATTTAGTCTTTAGGATCTGTAAAGGTGACACCAAAGCCTACTTTTGATTTTCCCTGATGTCTATCAATATGGAAATGGGAAAACAAATGATAGTATATCCTTACCATGGAATTCCATGCAGCGTTAAACGACATGAGATAAAGACCTGTATGATCTGACATGAAAAGACAGCCACAACACATTAAGTGAGAGAAAGCAGCCAGGTATAAAACAGTACTGTGGGAACAAAAGAACACATGCCTGTTTGCTATGTACTGACTCACGTCTCCCCAAAATCTCTGTATTGAAGCCTTAACTCCCAAAGTGACTGTGTCTGGAGGATAGGGTAATTAAGGTTAAAGGGAGACCATAAGGGTGAGGTCCTCGTCTGTCCAACAGCAGCCTTACAAGAAGAGAAAGAGCTCGGCTCCTCTGCTCTCTCCCTCTCTCTTCCTGCCCTCCAGGTGGGGACAACAAGAAGGCAATGGTATTTTGCCGTCTACTGTATTTTGCTGTGGCAGCCTAAGTTGAATAATACACACAAAGAAAAATATAAAATAAGAAATGTAAGGCTCCCTTTAAAAAGGGAAGCAGCTTTTCATAGAAACTATGATTGGTGAGAAGGTTGACAAAAAAAATCAACAAAAACTAAAAACTAAATTACTTGGATCTAAAAACATCTTGTTTATTCAACTTTTGTGTTATAAATTCCTTTGCTGTCCTATAAGAGGCTAGAAAATATAGACTATTCATGGGTTGCTGAACAAGTAACCTGTTTACTAACAAGGTTGAGAAAAGGTGTAACTAAGACTACATTTAACTATCCTATATTTTCTATCTTCAATGACAAATTTTTCTACTTTGTTTTCCTGTTATTCCATATAAAGAGATCAGGACTCTCTTGTTGCCAAAATGTTTTATTACAGCAACTTGGTTTCTTGTCTCTCTGGTACAGCAGTTTATAAGTTTATAACTTTGAATTGAATGAAAGTGCTAGCCAGGCGCGATGGCTCACGCCTGTAATCCCAGCACTTCGCGAGGCCAAGGCAGGTGGATCACCTGAGGACATGAGTTTGAGACCAGACTGGCCAACCTAGTGAAACCCTGTCTCTAATAAAAATACAAAATATTAGCCGAGCATGGTGGTGCGTGCTTGTAATCCCAGCTATCTGGGAGGCTGAGGCAGGAGAATTACTTGAACCCCAGAGGCGGAGGTTGCAGTGAGCCGAGATTGCACCATTGCACTCCAGCCTGGGCAACAAGAGCAAAACTCCACCTCAAAATAAATAAATAAATAGTGCTTCTGACAGTTTAAAAACCTAAAATACAAAGCAGAACTCTGTTTATATTTCAATAGTATGGGTGTGTATATCTCACACATATATATGTACAAACTAAAGTCTTGAAAGGTATGTACCAAATATAACAGTACTTATTTCATCTTTAGTTTCTTCTTTGTGTATTCCTGCATTTTCTAATTTTTACAGTAAGTCTGTATTACTTTTAAAATAGAGTAACATTTAATTCAAAGAGTACTCAATCATTTCAGGATATTCATAATAAACTATTAATATTAAAAAAACTTAAAACTATCAAGTACTATATCAGTATGGGCTTTCAAAGAAATACAAATGATTTTCTTAAGTAGACAAATAAGCATATCAATTGTAATAAATATACCACTCTGGTAGGGGAAGGCTATGTATGCATGGGGGAAAAATGTAAATGGGAAATCTCTGCCACCTTCTCAATTTTACTGTGAACCTAGAACCGCTGTAAAAAATAAAGTTGGCCAGGTACAGTGGCTCATGGCTGTAATCCCAGCACTTTGGGAGACTGAAACAGGAGAACAGCTTGAGGCCAGGAGTTTGAGACCAGCCTGATCAACAAAGTGAGACCCTGACTCTACAAAAATTTTAGAAAAAAAATGCCAGGTGCGGCGGCATGTGCCTATAGTACTAGCTACTCCGGAGGCTGAGGCAAGAGGATTGCTTGCACCCAGAGTTTGAGGCTGTGGGGATACAGTGCAATGATCATGCCATTGCACTCCAGCCTGGGTGACAGAATGAGACCCCATCCCTAAAAAAAGATAAAATAAAAATAAATCAACAAAGTCTACTTTTTATAGAAAACACTAAGCACAGAAATATAGAAATACAACATTTAAAAATGAAGTTAGAAGATATTCATGGATCCTTTGAAGGCTATTCATTGCACCTAAGACCTTCTGTTCTAGATGTCCGGCTGAAGAAATTATCTTTGAACATTCCCAATTTCTTTTTTTCCTCTCACAAGCTTTTAAGCTTTTAAGCTTGTGAGAGGAAAACCAAACCAAAACAAAACAAGACAAGACACACATACCGCACTCCATAAATTTAACTGTCTGGGTTCGTGCCACAAAATTCTCAGCATTTCCTATTTTAAAACTAACACACATCACAGTTGCCAATAAACTGATATTATACTTTCATATTTCAAAAATCAATGGTCTAAAGAGTTCATATTTATCTAGATGTTCAGAACGCTGGAAACTCATAGCCTCTAAATACGTTTGAACCAAGTTTAAAAAATATTATTTTAATGTTTATAGGTGGTTATGCATCTTCGGTTTGACAGAGACCCTACTACTCCCTCCTTACTCCCCCTGGCCTCCTTCAAACACTCAGGAAACTGCCTAGTTCCAGAAAACATTTGAGTTTGGTAACTCACAGTAGAGTCTGAAAGTGGTTTCGA